TGGTTGCTTCCTTTTAAAGCCAGACACTGCTCTTGTTGTGATCCTTATCTGCCTGGTTTGCATGTGCTCCCTGCAGCTGGATGCTGCTCAGGCTTTCCCTGCTCCTTGAAAGCTGAGCTCTGCTGTCCCTGTGAGGGCTTGTTTTCCCCAGCTAATTAGTGAGCCCTGGTGGAGCAGGCTGATGCCACACCCTCCTCTCTGTTCTAGTGGTCTGTAAGAAGAATTTGGACAGCACCACTGTGGCCGTGCACGGTGAGGAGATCTACTGCAAGTCCTGCTACGGGAAGAAGTACGGCCCCAAGGGCTACGGCTACGGACAGGGAGCAGGGACCCTGAGCACGGACAAGGGCGAGTCCCTGGGAATCAAATATGAAGAGTGAGTTTGAGCCTTGTTTTTGGCACTTGGGGCTGTGGGCACCTTCTCCCCACACCTGCCCTGTGGTGCTTGGCTGTGGTGCAGCCTGTGCTGAGCTCCCAGCAGTGTCCATGGGCTGCCTGGCCCCTCTGCCCTTCCAGGGAATCCCACTGAACCCTGTTTGGCGGGTGGGATGGGATGGGACATGTCCCCATTGCATGAGCACACTGCCCACCCCCTCCCAGGCTGAACTTTCCATGGAGCTCACTGTTCTCAAGTTCTCTTAAAAACTGGGCTGGGATTTGGAATCCTGTAGTTCTTCCCTGCTCCACCTTGCATCCCTGATTGTGAGCTCCCTGCCACCTACAGGGGCCAGCCCCACCGACCCCTGAACCCCAATGCAGCCAGGATGGCCCAGAAGGTGGGAGGAGCTGACGGGTGCCCCCGCTGTGGCCAGGCCGTGTACGCGGCTGAGAAGGTCATTGGAGCTGGGAAGGTAAGAGGGGATGGTGGGCACGGGGCACAGGGATGGTGGGCACGGGGCACAGGGTGCTGCATGGCAGGGACACCTTTGGAGAGGGTCTGGACCTGCCCTCAGCCAGGGCTGGGCTTGGGTCCAATGGCCATGTTCACCTGGAAGCGTGGCACCAAAGGGAAATCTTGGCATATCTGGAAGCCAGGTTGTCCAGGCTGCAGTACTCTCACAGACTTGTAGATGGGGGAGAAAGACATGTTATGTTAAATATTTATGGCCCTGCTCAGCAGAGGCCACAGTGGACATCCTGCTGTGGATGTGCTGGGAGGGTGAGCAGTGACATGTGCCATGGCCAGTGTCCCTGTTAACTGAAAAGTGCTTCTTTGTCCCCTCTGTGCCACAGGCCAGGACGCTGTGGCCAGGATTTGGGGAAGGCAATGAATTCCAGTGGTCAGCACTGGCCACAGGTTGGGCAGGGTGCTGGAGCTGTGGGCATGGGTTTGGTGAATGTTCCTGGGGCTGTTCTGGTGGTGGCTGCGTCAGCTCAGGGTTTTGTGTGAAGGTCACTGTCACAGCCCTGGCACTCCCTGTGCCAAGGTCATTCCTTCACCAGGGTTCTTTGCACCCTGAGCTGTGACCTGGTCCCAGCCCAGCTCCTGTGCAAGGCCTGGGGACCCCTTCTGCCCTGCCAGCCCTGGGACCCCAGATGAGGTCCCTGCCTGGAGCTGCCCTCCCCACGAGTCAGGCACATGCAGAGCTTGTCAGGGACACCAGGCCAGGCTGCTAGCCTTTGTGCCATGGGGACAAGGTGGCCATGCTGGGACAGCCTCACTAGTGATGAGGTTTCACTCCCTGACCTGGCTGGGCTCTGTCGTCCTGGGGCTTTGTGCTTGTCCTGGGTCCCCAGAACAAGGAGAGGGGTCAACAGAAAGGGCCCCTCAGCATCATCACCCCCCAGCTGGCTTGTGATGGACACGTTGAGGGTCAGCCCAGGGTCAGAAGCTGAATTTACCCTTAAAACCATGACCTGGGCTTCCTGGTCAGCTTCTGGCCCCAATGTTTACTGAGAACCAAAGTTGGTGAAGCAATTACATTAAAGTAGACCCAGAGAGGATTCCAGAGCATGTATTTCATGTGCTAATGTTTGCTGGATGACTCCATCCAATACCTCCTCCTCCAGCCTATGAATTTCACATTTTCTTCCAAAAAAGGTTTCATGTTTTCCCAAGTGTTTGTTTAAATTCCTCGGTGAGCAGCTCTGGCTGCTTAAGGTCTGCCTGAAGGCTGTGAGCTCATTTATTTCCAGGGGACTGCTGGAACCATGGGGGATTATTTTTAAACACTGTCTAGTTTTGGCATTTTTCCTCTCTGTTTGCTGCCTTCCTTGGAGCTGTTGTTGTGTGGGGCAGTTGTCCCATCCCTGCTGCCACCCAGTCGTGGGTCTCAGCTGGATGATGGGGGTTTCTTATCTCGCTGGTTAAGAAAGGGCAGTCCCCAAAGAGGGGGGGATTGCTTCTTACAAATTATTGTAGAAATTACTGCACAAATGACTTAGAGTGTCAGCAAAAAGGTCTCCAAAACAAGATGAGCACAGGAGCAATGCCCACACCTGATGTTTCACACAGAATCACAGAATTTCTAGGTTGGAAGAGACCTTTAAGATCCTCTCTGTATTTTCCCTGTGGGGTTGGGAGTGCTTTCCAGGGAAAAGCTTTTATCCCGTTCAGAGCTCTTTGCCAGCCCCTTTGGATCAGAAGCAGAGCAGGGAGCCTGGTTGGTACCAGGGCCTGGCTGTCCTGTTCCTGGGATCTGACCGGGCTCTGCTCCTGTCCCACAGTCCTGGCACAAGTCCTGCTTCCGCTGTGCCAAGTGTGGCAAAAGCTTGGAGTCCACCACCCTGGCAGACAAAGATGGGGAGATCTACTGCAAAGGTGAGCCCCACCTTCCCTGCTGGCTTGTCCTGGGCTCTGAGGGGTGGGAGTGAAGATCCCTGTGCAGGGACCCGGCGGGGTTGAAGCTGGGGAAGGGGTGGCCCAGCAGCTGCTTTCAGGGACGGACCGTGCCAGCCACAGAGCTGGAGAATTTCCTGCTGTGCCAGGGCCTCTGTTTGCCCAACAAATCTGGCAAACCTTGTCCTGTCCAGGCAGGGTGTGCCCCTTGGGCAGGACCCGCTCCTGTGCCAGCCTCACCTGTGTCTCCCTTCCATCCTCTGCAGGTTGTTACGCCAAGAACTTCGGTCCCAAGGGCTTTGGCTTCGGGCAGGGCGCCGGGGCACTGATCCACTCACAGTGAGCCCCAGGGCTGAGCCCTGCGCTCGCCCGGGGCTCGTCCTGTGCTGCCCGCCCGCCCCACGCCGCAGCGAGTGCCCCACTGTCACCCCCAGCCACCGCTGCTTTGCAGCACCAGCCCCTCCTGCCCTGCCCCGGCGCTCCCCAGAGCCAGGGTCATCCCAGCATTGTCCCTGTGGGGTCCTGCTGGGGCAGGTGGCACAGGGGGGCCGCTCCCTCCCACTGCAGAGAGGCCCCGGTGCCCAAGTCCTGCTCCGCGTTGCCCGTCCCGCCGGCCGCGTGCTCAGCGTGACACCGAGCAAGCAATAAAACATCAGAGACATCAGAGCTCACCGGGCCTGGCCCTGCCACTGACTCCTGTCTGGGGCTGAGGGAGGGCACCGGGTGCCCAGGGCTGGGGAGGTGTTTGCAGTCCTGGCTTGAAATTAAAGCCCAATGGCGGGAATGGCCCAGCTGTGGCCAGCTGAACTCTGCAGCTCGGCTGGGATGGGCTCCCCCTCTGCTCCCACCAAGAATCACCATGGAATGCTTTGGATTGGGGCAGACCCTAAAGCTCATCCTGTTCCACCTTCCACTAGCCCAGGCTGCTCCAAGCGCTGTCATTGAAGACTTCCAGGAATGGGGATAACTTCCAAAAGCAGAGGTTGATGCTGGGAGGCCAGGGACGGCCCTTCTGGGGTGTGCTCACGTTCTCAAAACCCCTATCAGTGCTTTTAGGTGGCACCTCTCCAAGCAGGCGTGCCCAGCAGTGCCAAGTAATTAACAGCTTTTCACCTACTCCCTGCTTTTTTAGCAGCTTGTGGATCATTAAGCCTCTAGTTTGGCAGCTGCCCAAGTTTAATTGGTTTCCATCTAAACTCTTCACTCCCTTTCTGTGATTCTCCTGTTAGACTGGTGGGACAGACTCGGATCAGCCTCGCTGCAGCTTAGGGACTCCACAGACAATTGAGTTCTGGGGCTATTAAAGTTATAAACATTGTGGTTGAGCAAATGAGATGGGGTGTGTTCTGAGAAGCACAACAGAGGCAGAAATCCTTTTTTTGAGGCAGGACTGGGGCTCCTTTATCAACCTCAGTGCTTTCTCCTGTTCATCACACCCTCAGTTTTGCATGGTGTTTATGGAGAGGGGGAGTTGAGTCTTCACCATCTCCAAAAGCTTCCCCCCTCTAGATTCTAGCAGGACCCCCTGCTCTGGGCTGTGTGGTGGCCCAGGCTCTGGTAGGTCTGGGAGCTGCAGCACAGCGGGCTCAGCTACCAGCCTGGTGTGGAGACCCAAACCTGCCTGCCTCACTTGGCAGAGGCCCTGCTGCTCCACCACGGAGGTGTGGCGGGGAGGGGGCTGGTTCTGGAAGCTCCTGCAGAGATGGGGGGTCAGGAAGCTGCTGCAGAGGTGTGAGGTGGGGCTGCTGCAGGGATGGAGGGGTCAGGAAGCCACTGCCTTCTCTGTGAGCATGCAGGGGATGCTGTGCTGCTGCTGTGACATCTCAGCTGGATGTGCCCCAGATGGGATTGTGCCCAGGCAGTACTGGTTGGTCAGTAAAGCTACAATGAGTATTTAGTCCCTTCCTCATGCAGCTGTAGAGGTTCTGTCAGAAAGGGGGGAGGAGCAGGAGCCCCTCTGCTCTGGAGCCAGGCTGGGAGAGCTGGGGATGTCACCTGGAGAAATCTCGAAGGGACACCTCAGAGCCCCTTCCAGTGCCTAAAGGGGCTCCAGGAGAGCTGGAGAGGGACTTAAGACAAGGGCCTGGAGGGACAGGACAAGGGGGATTGACTTCCCACTCCATAGGGCAGGGTTAGATGGGATATTGGGGAGGAATTCTTGGCTGTGAGGGTGGTGAGGCCCTGGCACAGGACCCAGAGAAGCTGTGGCTGCCTCTGGATCCCTGGAAGTGTCCAAGGCCGGGCTGGACAGGGCTTGGAGCAACCTGGGACAGTGGAAGGTGTCCCTCTGCGTGGCAGAGGGTGGAACTGGATGGTTCTTAACCTTTCAACCCAAACCAGTTGGTGGTTCTATGGGATAGTGACATTTCACACGGGATGGACACCAGAGAGGCCAATACTACTGGAAGCCTGGTCAAAGCCAGGAGAAAATGCTGGATTTGTTTTTGGAGGGCCATGGAAAGATGTAGGTTAGAAAGGACCAGTAGAAGCCTTGGCTGCAACGTCCTGCTTAAGGCAGGGTTCCAGAGGTCAGGCTGATCAGAGCATTTTGTGTCCACTCAGGTACAGGAACCCTCTGAGGATGGAGGTCCCACCACTGTGGATCTTGTCACAGCATTGTGCCACACAACCTTGAAAGGGTTGTTTCATCACTGAAAGGATGGTCAGGCCCTGGCACAGCTGCCCAGGGCAGGGGTGGAGTCACCATCCCTGGGGGTGTTCAAAAGACTTGTGGGATGTGGCACGTGGGGACCTGGGTTAGTGGTGATCATGGCAGTGCTGGGGGAGTGGTTGGAATGGATGATCTTGTGACCTGGGAGGGCTTTTCCAACATTAATGGTTCTGTGAATCCCTGGTTGTCCTGTTGTGCCCCTGTGCCTGGTGTCTTGTGTCCTTTTGCCAGGCAGGGCCCCGTCTCCACAACCTTTCTATAGACAGTGGAAAATTGAAGTTCAGCCTCCCCAAGTCCTCTTTTCTCCTGCCTAGTGGGTCTCTGCTGAGCTCCCAGCCCCAAAGGTCCTAGGTAAACCATGTCCCACGACAGGGACCATGCCCTGAGGGTTTGCCCTGGGTGCCACACACCTGCTGACCCTGCACTGGTCACTCAGAGTGGCTTAGGGAGTGACAGAGACCACCATGGGGACACCAGGATGGGATCACGGGGGCTGCACATCCCAACAAAGGCATGAGGGGGGCTGGAGGAGGTGGTGGGACATGGCCCAGGAGAAGCAGCGTGGGACTGGAGGTGTTTTTGGGCATCTCCTGCCCAAGTTGCAGTGGGACAGCTCCAACCATGCCACCCTCTGCTGATCAGCGAGCATGGCAGGGCCCAGCCGGCCGTGTCTGCTCACCTGTGCCCAGGTGTTGTCCAGCTGCCCCTCGAGGCAGCAGAGCCACGCTGTGCCCGGCAGCTCCCACCCTTGGGGGGCTGCAGCCTGGGAAAGGGGCTGTGGCACCCAAACCTGCCCTGAAGGGACAAACCAGGGACTGGCTTGTGGCCAAGCACCCTGGAGCCTCCTGGTGATGACTCCACTTGAGGTGTCAGACTGGAGCCTCCAAGCCCTATGGCCAGCGGGGCTGTGGGAGGGGATGTCACCCTGTCACCCAGCTCTGTGGGGATGTCACGTTGGGGCAGGGCTGAGCCCGGCAGCCCCGTGATCTGCCCTGAAGGCCCCGTGTGGATGGGATGAGCCATGGGCAGCCCAAGGAGCAGAGCCCTTGGCTCACCCACAGCCTGGCACAGCAAGTCCTGCAGGGTTTGCTGCAGGGCAGGAGGTGCCATGTCCCCAGGGCAGCGTGGCAGGGTGAGAGCTCTGCTCCTGCTGTGTCTGGGAATGGACAGCTGGGGTGACAGGAGTGGAGAAGGATGTTGTCAAAGCTCCTTCACACCCAGGGCTGTGGGACCATCACCTTCCCTTGGTGGCTGGTGCCGGGAGAAGCAGTGACTGCAGTGAGCAGAGGGGCGGGGGTCTCAGGCAGGGGTTGGCAGCCCTTGGCTCTCCCCCAGGCTGTGAGGATGGAGCTGTAACTGGATGGTGAGCTAGAACTGCCCACGGACATCCCAGCTTACCACAACAGTAACAGTCTCAAAACTACTCCCCCCGAGCTCCCAGGGCTCAGCATCCCTGGAGCTGAGCGTTACCGGTGTGTGGGAAATCAGCCTTGGCGGGGGAACCCACGCTGCTCTGCTCCTTCCGAAGCGCTGGGGTGCTCAGGGTGACCTCCGGGGCCGCCTGACGTCAGGAGCCCGGGTCTCCCGGGACACCCGGGATCTCTGCCAGCGTGGCGAGGCTGGCCCCAGGGAGCACGAACCAGTTCCTGGCTCTGCCAGCCGCCCTGCCCTCTTAATGAGGGATAATGAGGTGCATCTCATCAGCGCTGCAGACTTGCCCCCTGGCCACGGCGGCTGCCGGCAAAGCCCCTGGCAGGGCCCGGCAGTGATGGAGGGGCTGGGGCAGGAGGGGACCCCAGCCGGGGGCTCTGCGGGGCTGGGGTCTGCGAGGGGTGCATGAGCAGGGTGGGCGCTGGGACAGCGGCTGCGTGCCAGGGAGCCAGGGGCTGATCCAGCCCCCGTCAGTGACCCCGGCACAATCCCGGGGGGATTTCTTCCCATTGCAGACCTCACCCGGGTGAAGGACCCACTCTCTCAGCGTTTGCAGGGGCACATTCAGCTGCCCAGCCATCTGTGACCGTCACCCGCCCTGGCAGCCCAGGGCCCGCACAAGTGCCCAGATGTGCCCCTCGGCAGCCCAGCCCGGCCCGGGGAACCCTCGGTGCCAGGCGCTGGCACAGGAACAGACGGTGCTGCGGTGGCCGGGAACGAGACGGGCTGGAAAGGAGACGGTGTTTGGCTGCAGGGGGGGGAGGATCAGTCAGGAGGACCGGGCTGCGCTGCCCCGGCCCTGCTCCACGGCTCCTTCCCCCTGTACAGGTCACACGGGGCTGGGGAATGCTGCTCCTTGCTGTGGGACAACCTGGGGGCTTCAAACTCCCGTCTCAGGGCCTTTGAGGGATGGGAACTCTGTGTGCTGTGTGCTGAGGGGTGGCCCAGCACCCTTGGGTGAGTGGCTGGGAGGGTGGGTGGCTGTCAGGAGTTGTCCCCATTGCTGCTGTCTGTTCTGTGCTTTTGTCTCTCCTCCTGGGCTGCACTGGGGGTCCCCAGAGCTGTGCCTGGCTGGTGCTGCAGGCACAGCCTACTGTCCCAGCTGGCATTGCACCCCACTGCACCCTTGCACTGCAGCCCATTGTGCCTCTTGGCTGGCACTGCAACCCCAGCCCCCCTTGCCCAGTGGCACTGCACTCTCTAGTCCTGCCTGGCTACACAGAGCCCCCTGCCCAGCCAGCCCTGTGTCCCACAGCCCACTGTCCCCAGCAGCACTGCACCCTATAGCCCTGTGCCCCCAACAGCTGGTGCTGCACCCCCCAAGAGCTGCTCTTGCACCTCCAACATCTGTCCCTGCACCCCGGGCTGTCGTGCAGAAGTCCCCGAGCCCTGCCCCATCCCACACCCTGCAGCGCTGCCATGCAGCCCCATCCCACACCCTGCCCGTTCACACGAAGGCCCTGAGGCTACGCCTGCCCTCGGGCACCCCAAAAGCTCCTCCCGGGTGAAGCGGGGCTGCGCCGGGCCTGGTCGGGCTTCGCCTGGGCGTGAAGGGAGCCTGAGAGCAGGAGGGGCCAGGCGAGGCGGCAGGAATGCGAGTGGGAGAGCGGCCGGGCAAGTAGCGACAGCTCCTGCGAGCGCGGATCCCACACGCGGCTCGGGCAGGGAGCGGAGCCCGGCACGGGGCTGGCGGCCGGAATGGGGCACCCCGTGGCTCACCCCCTCTGAGAGCCGGAGTGCAGGGCGGCGAGTCCCCGGGGGCAGCACGGCCACCGCGGGTCCCGGCCCCGGGGAGCTCGGCTGGAATTCCTCCGGCGGGTAATGCCCGGCTGGGCCGGCGCAGGGTGCTGAGGATCCCGGGGGCCGAGCAGCCGTGATGACCCCCGAGAAGGTGCTGAGGGAGGGGGTGCTGGAGAAGCGGAGCGGGGGGCTGCTGCAGCTCTGGAAGAAGAAGCGGTGCCTGCTGACGGAGAAGGGGCTGCAGCTCTTTGAGCCCAAGGGCTCGCGGCGCAAGGAGCTGAGCTTCGCCCGCATGAAGGCCGTGGAGTGCGTGGAGTGGAAGGAGCGGCACATTTACTTCACGGTGGTGATGGACGACAGCCTCGAGATCGACTTCCGCTGCGCCCAGGAGGACCCGGGCTGGAACGCTGAGATCACCATGGGGCTCGTGCGCTTCAAGAACCAGCAGGCGATGCAGGAGGTGCGCGCCCGGCACAGCTGCCGAGCAGGTACCGCAGCCACCGTGGCTCAGGGAGCAGGACCCGGCCCAGGATGAGGTCCCTGGCCGCAGGTTCCCCTTCCTCAGTGGTCTGGGGAATCACGAAGGGGGTCCCCTGGACTGGGGTGGGTCTGCAGGTTGATGTTCCCATGTGCCCCTGCACTGGCTGGGATGCCCCATGGGTTTGGTCTCTCTGTATCCCTGGACAGGGACTTTCTAACATCCTCCCTCTGTCTGGGGTGGCCTGAGGGATACAGGGCTCTTTGCTATCTTGCACGTGGGATGGGGTGGGGATGGTGTCTGGCCCCAGTCCCTTCAGGATGCCCCATGTCCCAGCGCTGGCCGAGTGGGTGACAGGAGCCTTCTCTCTGCAGTGGTGCAGCTGGACACAGCCCCGGTGGGACAGCCCAGGGAATCACAGCTTCCCAGGAGTCGGATGGAGATGGCCCTCAGCTCGGCGGGTGCTGGGGAGAACGGGATCCCTGCGGGCAAGTGAGGTCACCGCTGCGCAGCCCGGGGATGAGGACAGTGGCCCCGGGGAGGCCGGTGCTGGCGCTGGCTCCCCCCTTGCCGGGGCAGGACAGAGGCACCACAAGAGCTGGGCTGGCACAGCCACCTCCCCTTGGCACAGCGGGCCAGAGGACACCAGCAGGGCCATCACCTGGCACTTCAGACAAGGCAGGAGGTGACATCCCTGCCTGGGGTCCCACCACCCTTCATTCAGCTAACGTGTGCAGGACCTTGGTGCACTGGTGGGGACCCCAGGCCTCTCCTGCAGGACAGGGGATGGATGAGGCAGTGCCCGAAGGATCTGTGCCACAGGGAGCTCTGCCTGTGTGACAGTGACACTGGGACAGATGGATGTGGCTGGGTCCCAATTTTAAAAAAGGGCTGGAAAGCTGCTGCTGCAAGCAAGGACCCCTCAGTAGGGCACTGAAACAACGGTTTGGTGACACAGTCGTGCTGCTTGTCTCACCCTGGGATGTCCTTGGGATGTTGGGGAATGCTGGGGATCCCAATGCCGTGTACCAAAACACTTAACAGGACTTTCAGCTTCTTACCCTGGTGTTGCTTTGATTTGTGGGACCCCACAGGGCACAGGAGAGCACAAATCCTGCACAGAGCTTTGCTAGTCATGATCCATAAACCAGCATCCCCGTCGGGCTCCAAAGCCCCCCACTAGCACCCCGAGGCTCCCTGATCAGCAGTCCCGCTGTGCTCGTGTCCCCAGAGATTCCCACGGTGGTTTGGGTGCCGGTGACGCGGGAGCAGCGCTGTGGCTCTGCAGCGGGGAGGGATGGCCCTGCCCCGACAGGCAGCGCAGACAGCAGCGCCTGGAGCCAGCAGCGCGCTCCGCAAGCCGGAGCCTGAGCCCAGCCCGGGGCCGGAGGCGCTGCGGATCCTGCTGGAGATTTCCCGGCCGCGTGGGAACCACGGAGCGCGGTGTCCTTATTGCCCGGGCCAGGCAGCCTGTACCCCAGCCTGCACCCCTGTACCCCAGCCTGTACCCCAGTCTGCACCCCTGCACCCCAGCCTGTATCCCAGTCTGTACCCCTCTACCCCAGTCTGCACCCCAGCCTGCACCCCAGCCTGTACCCCTGCACCCCAGCCTGCACCCCAGCCTGTACCCCTGCACCCCAGCCTGCACCCCAGCCTGCGCCCCAGCCTGCACCCCAGCCTGTACCCCTGTACCCCAGCCTGCCCCCGCGGGGTCCCATCCCCGTGCCGGGGCAGCACTGGGTGGCTTTGGGGACGGTGGCACGGCCAGAGCCTGCTCGCTGTGCAGGGCCAGGCTCATGCTGGCTCTGCAGGAACAGGCACTGGGGGGGTTCCACTCCTTGGCCAGCCCAGAGCTGCATTTACCGAGACCTCCCTGGCTGGGGGTGCAGAGGGGCTGGGAGCCAGACCCAAGCACTGCATAGATGGAGCTCTGCACCATCCCAGTGTCATGAAGGGACACAGGCGGCTCCAGGGATGGTGGGACCCTCCACAGGACATGCTTCAGGTGTGGTGCCCTCTGTGGACAAGCCCCAGACCAGGCCCCTGTACATGTGTCAGGAGGGAATGGGGAAGGTGCTGCTGCTTACACAGCATTTCCAGGGCAAGGATTACTGTCCTGGGGTTCCCCTTAAATCCCCAGCTCCCAGAGTCAGGGGATTCAGTGAGGCTCAGTCAAAGCCGTGTGAGCATCCCAAGCCTGTTCCATTGTGGGTGCCACGGTGGGGAGCACCCAGTGCCAGGGGTTCTCAAAGTTACCAGTTTTATTCACTGTGACTCCTTTTTGTCAATTTTTCTACTCTCTTGCCCCCTGTAAATAGATATTTTCTGTTTTCCAACTACCAGCAAGGAACTGTCAGAGAAAATGATCAAGGAGCGTGTGTAAGCACCAGTCCTGGCCGTGGTACATCCCTGGGCACTGATGATGCCGCAGAGAGGCCACGGTACCCCAGAGCTGGGGAGAAATTCAGGCAGTCAATGCAGGGAGGGGACAATAAGAGAACACAAATCCTTGTGTCAGCGTTTCAGGTCCAGGCACAGGGGGAAGGCAAGCTTTTCCATCCTCATCCTGAGCCCTTCATCCAGGCCAACACACATCCCGGCTCCCTGCCTGAACCCCATATCCCCCAGGGACTTTAGAGCTCCCCAAGCCTCCAGGTTTGGGATTTTCTTCTGAGCAGAAACCCACACCTGACCCATCCTCTGTGGGTGGATTCCCAGGCTGACCCTGGAGCAGGGGCTGGGGTCAGAGCCCAGCCAGCAGCGTGGGGGTGGAAGGTGTGTTGGCTTCATCTCCCCTGGGAGGGCTGAATGTCTCTGCAGAGGAAAAGTCACCCGGAGACTGAAAAACAAATAAAGAGCCCAGAGAGCTGGCCAGGGAGTGGAGTAGGGGCAGAGCCAGAGGCTGCAGCATCCCCAGCACCACGGATGTGTGTGCAGCCTGGAAAGCAGGAGAGGATCCACGGGAAGCATTCCTAATGCCCCTGGAGGTGGGGAAACTGAGGCACAATAGGGGGATGCAGAGTGGTTTGTGGCCCCTCAGCCCCTCCAGCACACAGGCTCCTGTGGACAGACCCCCCAGGCCTCCAGGGACAGGAGAGAGGTGCCCCGGAGCACCCGGAGTTCAAAGGCAGGAGCCTGAAAATCTGGCTCTGCTGCTCCCAGCCCATGGTGCCCCTGTTCCAGCATCCCTCCCCACTGCTGAGGCTGCTCTGGGGGGCTGCCCTGTGCTCCCCACCCTGGGCAGGGGCTCTGCCAGCACCCACAGGCACTGGCACCCTCCCTGCAGCACCACGGGGGTGCAATGGGTGCAGAGGACAGGAGTTTTTTCCATCTGATGACATCCTAGGTCTGGCTTTGGGATCAGTTTGGGGCTGGCTGGACACCCTGAGTGCCAGGGAGGGCAGTGGGGTCACAGTGCTGGGACAGGGAGGTGCAGCCTGATGGTGCCAATGCTTTTGTCACGTGGGATCTCCTCCATCACCAAGTGCCCTGCAGAGAGCCTGGCACTGCCCCGCTTCTCCTGGGATCATCCCTGAGCTTGTGGGTGGCTCTTGTTTAGATAAAAATGAAAAAAAAAAAAATAATCCCAGCTGTAGCAAGTAGCATTCTGCTTTTTGGCTTTAGGTCAACTGTCCAACTTCCTCCAGATGCTCCTAAAATGATTTCATTGCTGGCCATCCTTAATTACAATTCCTAAATCACTCGATTTTGGTTTGGGACACGCCGCTTGCCCAGAGCTCTGCTGTCTGTGTGTCCATGCTGCAGGGAGCAGAGGCTGGGATGTCCCCAGCACTGCTGTGGGGAGCTCGGCCATCTCCACTGAATCCTCCTGCACTGGAGTGTAGGAGGAAATATCTGTCCTTGCACCACAGCCCCTGGGGTGCTGAGGGGGTCAGGGCAGGGGCTGCAGGGCTTGCACATTCATTCCCCAGCCACAGGGTCCTGCTGCAGTGTCTTGGACTCAGTGTCCCGGGGGTTCAGAGCTGTGGCTGTGACTTTCTCCAGCAGTAGAGCTGAGGCTGTGGGAGCCCAGGAAGGGCAAGGACTCACCAGGAAGAAACAAAACGAGGGCCCAGACATTGCAGGGGGGACAACCAGCACATACAGCACCCGTCTGTCCCCCACTGTCCCTGAGTAGGAGCCACTGAGTGGCTCTGGGGGTGGGGGTGGCCCAGCCCAGACCAAAGTGGATACTGAGATGTGTCTCAGAGACAGAGGTAAAAATCTGAAAATACTCTGACAATGTCCAAAAACTATCTCGGGGTCCCTGCCTGGGCCAGAAATTTTGGGTTATTTGGAATAGTCTTTTTTTTTTTTTTTTTTTTTTTTTTTTTTTTTTTTTTTTTTAAATTTTTTTTTTTTTGGGGAAAACCCCCC